AACTAGAATTTTGATTTTCAATCTTCACTGGTTACTCCCCTGTCTGAATATTGTCTGTTTTGTCATTAATGAAAAATACAGTGTGCCCATGCTCCAGCAGAAATCATACTTTCAAAAAGTGAAAGTGCCAGTGTATTTGCTGAAAGGGTGTGTATGTCTTTACTTCAGAATAGTAATAGTTCTGTCAATGGTGCTTATTCAGCACACTTTAATGCATCTCCTGACAATTTGTTTCTATTACAGACAGAGTAAGAGTGATATTAGTGAAAATAGAAGAGCCATGACTAAATTAAGATTGGCATCTGAAGTATGTAAACATACTTTATCAACATTACAAAATGCTCAATGTGCCGTTGATTCTCTATATGATGGTATAGACTTTCACTACAATGTTTCTAGGTTAGTGTAAATGAAATATAATTGTCGTTCTTTTTTTTGCTTTTTAATGTTCCTTCATGTTTTAAGATATGGAGGTCTGGTGGTGAAAATTTCTCATATTTATGAAATCCAGATAATTTGCTGCAAACTTTCAGATAAAGTACTTTTTATTGTTTTTATCAACTCCAAAATTTGACCTAAAATTTCATTTATGATTGACTTTTGATTATATTGTTTTACCAATTTCAGAGGTCGTTTTGAAGTCTTGTGTAATAATTTATTACAAGAAAGTATTCAATTAATAGAACAAATTTTACGAGAAACACAACTAAATAAATCAGATATTCAAAAGGTAAGCATTCAAAATATCCAATTAAAATCAGATGTCAATGTTTGTGATACTTGTGATCTAACTAGTTTTTTACTGTAGTCCTGTTCTAATGAACTTACCAAAGCATGTGGTGTAGCCTCTTCTTGATAACAATGACTAATTATTGGATTGTGAAACTCCAAGAGGCTGTCATTTTGATTTACTATGATTTTTCTATCCCACTATTTATTCCCTTTTTTTTAACAAGAATGTTCTACATTACATGCTTTGATATCCGACAAAAAAGAAATTTTTTTTATTTTAATCAACATAGGATATGCTGTATTTCTATGTATATTTTGTTGTATATTATGCTGTAAAGTTGTATTTCTATGTATATTTTGTTGTATATTATGCTGTAAAGTTGTATTTCTATGTATATTTTGTTGTATATTATGCTGTAAAGTTGTATTTCTATGTACAGTTTGTTGTATATTATGCTGTAAAGTTGTATTTCTATGTACAGTTTGTTGTATATTATGCTGTAAAGTTGTATTTCTATGTACAGTTTGTTGTATATTATGCTGTAAAGTTGTATTTCTATGTACAGTATGTTGTATATTATGCTGTAAAGTTGTATTTCTATGTACAGTATGTTGTATATTTCTATATATATTATGTTGTATATTTCTAATATTATGTTGTATATTTCTATGTATAATTATGTATATTTACAGGTTATATTATGTGGAGGAGGTAGTAATGTACCTATTTTACAGAAGACTATAGGAGATTATTTAAAGGAGTCAACTATATTATCATCTATTACCAGTGATGAGGTTATAGCTATAGGGGCTGCTAAACAGGTATGTCAACTCAATTATAATATGGATTTGTAACTTAGTAAATATATGTGTTGACATCCAGGGATGATAAAGACAGGTAAATTAGGGCTGGGCGATAATAGCTAAAGGGGATATCACGATATCAAGCATTATTATATCAATATAGCATTATTTATAAAGTATGCGCTTTCCTGGCAAATTTGTACTTTTCTGTATATCTGTGTTATACCATAGGTTGGGGGTCATTTAAGACTATTTTTATTCAAAATTTCCATTTTTTGTTTTTGTTTATTACATTTTATATATAGATTGATATGACATTGATCGTTTCAAATTAGAGTGAGCTGTTTCTCTTTAGATTTAGGAAGAAGACTTGTGTAACATATATTAATTGGTTTACAAAATTCAGCATTGTGGACAACATTTCCTTAATTTAAGCTTTGTCTTTTGCAGGCAGCTTTTTTAGTTGGTAAAGAAATGGAAGAAATAAAACAAAATGAAGAATCCTGTAAAATTAAATGTTTATCTAAAGCTGTTACTGTCAGGGTAGGTTCATTATTGTTGTTTTTTTAAAAGACGGAAGTTCCTCATGTTGAAAAATGTCTGTACTATTATAGATGAAATTTAGACCTAGTAATGTATCGGCTGTTTATGTTAACAGTTGTTAACCATTTCCAAAGGACCATTTTCATGAAAATTTGCTGAAGATTGAAATCACAGCTGATTCTTTTGAGCTCCTGTCAGAGATGAAAAGTTTTCACTGTATATTTATTTATTAAATGATCTATATTTGTTTCATTTTACAACAGGTTGAAAGTGAAACTAGCGGCCATGTTACCATTTTACCTCAGCATAGTTTAATTCCCTCACGTAAACAACATAACTTCTCTCTCCAACCAGATCAAACTTCTTTAAAACTAGAAATCTACGAAACAGACAATGATAGTCAACATGAGTTACTAGCTAAGGTAAGTCCTTTAGAAGTTTACAATTTAAACAGAGTTTTGGTGAGACTTGATGGTCTAACATTTGTTAAAAAGAACTGTTAATATCAAAGGAGAGGTTCGTCATTTTCGGGGGTTGATTTTAGTTTTGTGTATATATTAATAGTCTTCAGAAGTACTAGAAATGTACGAAAATCACATAATTCCTTCTTAAATATCTCAAACTAGGAATTTCTATTCCTATATATGACTGAGTCTTGAAAAAAGACAAGTCTTCTTTTTAAATTTCAAACATGGATAATACTAGATGTACATGGATCAGAAGGCTCAAATTTTGACAGTGAGCTATGAACACTATTACTAATAAGCTTAGCAAAAAAAATTCCCTTTTCTGAGACTAAGATACAATTGATCAAACAGATGGCGAACCAGTCCTTTTAAAGATGGGTTCCCGTATTTTCACTTGTTCATATTTGAAGGCTCTGAAGGCATTTAGTTTGTTGTGTTAGTTCAAAGTATCATCTGGACATGGCTATTGTTTGCTAATGTTACTGATATTTGATATTATATTACAGATCATAATGAAAGATCTTCCAGTAGGATGTACAGTCAATACTAACTTTCATCTTAGAAGGTAAATTCTATTGTTATTTTCTATTATTTAATGTTAATAGATTATAAAGATACTTCATTATCAATTGATCAATGTAATCAAATTAAGAGGTTTCATTCTCAGAAAGTTAACGGGACAGGTGTGCAATTTTTGGGGGTAGATTTTAGTCTTGAATATATGTAAATAGTCTTCAGAAGTGCTAGAAATATATGAAAATCAATTTTTGATATCTGTATTTTCAGGGATGGTGATTTACATATAACATGTCATGAAGAATCCACTAAAAAAGAGGAATCTGTTACCATAGCGATAAGTTGATTAATGGAATAAATATATAGACATTAACTTACTCCATTCTCAACGAAAATTATTTGCTAGTTTCTACATTGAAAATGTGAAAAATTCTTCTAATTTTGCCAGATTTTAAAAGTTTTTTTTTGATCTGAGAGTTATATCCTTAGATTGTTTTTCTACTTAAAAAAAAATAAATCTTAATAAAGTTATCATAGTTTTTTTCTGGAAAATCAAAGTTCTTCTTGCATGTTTTATTCCTGTTTCTCTGTTAATATAAGTGCCATAAATTATCTTTAATAAAAAATAAAATGTATATTAATTGCATATATATCTTAATGCTATCCCTTGACTTATTTCTATATACATGTACTTTGCTACAAATGTTGTCTAATGGATATGAGTAGAATAGTTTACTTTTCAATATACATGTCATGTTTAAAGTTGATTCTCGTCGTTGATCAACAGCATTCAACGTCTGCACCATTTTGTATTAGAAATCTACAAATTCTCATCCTTCCACAACTGGCGACTATATGAAGAGAAGTCTGGTCATATTTTTTTCGATGGTCTATATTGCACCCTTGTGGGATACACAAAGTCAGTGAACAATTGTCATATTCATCTTCAACTGCCAAATCGGCAACATTTTCATAACGCAACACTGGAGTTTCCTCGCTTAATCCCCGCTATCAAAGGGGTTTCTGCCATCTTTGTCTATTGTGTTAACTTCTGCCCCGTTTTCTATCAAACAGAGAATGATGTCTTCACAGCCAGTCAGCCGCTAAAGTGAAGGGCAGTTCTCTGCATACTATTCCTATGATGAATATAACATCCCATTTTGATTAACGTAGTTGCGACGTTGAAAAACTTTTTTTTCAACACACAGTATTAGTGCACATCCTTATCAACAGACACATTGACTCCATTTTAAATCAGAAGTACAGCAATTTCATCGTGTTGTTTCAACAATGAAATAAGAAAAGGAGACTGCCCTTTACAATCTTGAGAATTGACATCGGCTTCCTTTTTAACCAGAATTTTTATCAATTCTAGATGCCCATCAAAAGCGGCGGGGTGGAGAGCAGTCTGGTTCAATCTGTTTCGATGATGAATATCACACCCTTTGTCGATGATTATGGTCGCAACTTTGGGCCATTTATTTTTAATACACAGCATCAATGTAGAGTCCCCAATATCATCCATAATATTTATATTGGCTCCATTTTCAATGAGAAATAGCGCTAAGTCTTCATGTGACGGCTCCTGTAATGAAATAAGTAATGGGATTGCTCTTCGCCATCTACAGCATTGACATCGGCTCCCTCTTTTACGAGAGTTTTAATCAGTCCAAGTTGACCACTTATTGTGGCCAGATGAAGAGCAGTCTGTTGAAATCTGTTCTGCAAATTCTATCAGTTAGTGTTGTCGCAATTGTGAATTTTCTTTGAAAGATTAAAATCATTAGTATAGAGTTGCCATCTACATCCAATATCTGTTTATCGGCGCCATTTTCAATGAGAAACAACGCTATATCTTCGTGCTGATTGAATAAAGCAATCAAAAGAGGTGATTGTTGTCTCTGATCTAAAGAATTCACATCGGCTCCTTTTTGTACCATACTTTTTACCAATTTTAGATGCCCAACATAGGCGGCGAGATGAAGGGCATTGCGTTTGAATTTGTTTCGACAATGAATATCACACCCTCTGTTGATAAGAGTATTTGCTATTATGAAACTTCTTTTTATGACGCACAGCATAAGTAGAGAGTCGCCATCACGATCATCTATATTTATATCTGCTCCATTTTCAATGAGAAATAACGCTACCTCTTCGTGTGGATTAAATAAAGACTTAAAAAGAGGGGAGCGATTTTTAGAATCCAGAACGTTGACATCAGCCCCTTTTACATTCAAGTGTTGTACTTTCTCAATATCGCCTTGATATGATGCATAAAGTAGTTTTCTCGAGATATTCCTTTTGGGCATCTTTATCAACTGTTACTATAAAACCATCTGAAAATACATTTTAAGAGGATGTGAATACATTTGTCTAAATCAGGGTTTTTTAACCTGGGGATCATTACCCCAAAGGGATAATTAAGGTCAGTCTATTGTTTCCAGACTATATTATCCGACATTGAACATATTGCAGACAAAACCTACGAAAAAATCACGAAATAGTAAGGATTTATAGGGGGAAGGGGTAATGCAATTGATTAAGGGGTAATAGACAGAAAAGGGTTTGCCAATATTGAAACCTATATTTCTTTTAATTCTATAATCCAATATTAAAATTGACTATCTTAATTTGCCAAGGAAACTTCTATTTATTCTAAAAGCCTGATTTGAAATTTACTTTGTTTCTCTGATACTTTCTGTTCAAATATATTTTGGCAAAACTTTTTTTTTTCTTTCAGAACTAAAATTAACAGAACTTAATTGAACAGAACTTAATTGAACAGAACTAAATAGATCTACCTTGTAATGACTGTCCTTTCAGATATTTGCCAGATCAAAGTGTATGGGTGATTTCAAAATGTCTACATATCGAGTCTCACCCTACACGCAGAAGGTTACATAGGAGGTGATCTACATAGGTATACTAGAAGATTTTAGGGGAATCCCCTATTGATTCATATCTGACGACATAGGCGATAGAATTACAAGCCTTGTATCATGTGAATTACACTGAGTGTTTTTGTGCACAAAAAAGGGATCAAAGGAAGGGTCCTTGGGAAATATGAGAAATATGAAGTATTCATTATACATGTAGGTGCTTGTTTTCAGGTAGGTTCGCTAAAAATAACATAGATGTTACCACAGACATGACACCAATGGTTTCGAGGGGTAATATAATGTGAAGACTTAACTTCAAATATATCCTTTTTTCCGAACATATCGGGGTTTGATGAATCCGACTTAAATAAATAGGTTTAAAACCCCTTCATCTTCAGTTTTTCTGTCTCTAGATTAGCCGACAACAACTGTCAAAATACCTATCAGGTTATTTTACTTTATTTTATTTTACTTTTTTTTTTTGGCTTTGGGGGTCACACTGTGTTTACCTAAGCGACCCGTCACTTTAAACCAACACGTGATACTTTTATAGATCATGTGACAAATTTGGCGGGAGTCGCAGTCAACACGTGGTGTGAAAGTAAACAAGATAGAAGTGAGAAACAAAACATCAGCAAAATGTCATGTGAATATGAACAAATTCGAAAGAAAAACATCGAAGATAATAAACGGATTCTTGCTAAGCTTGGTCTCATTAATCCTGTAGGTATTCTTTTTTCTTGAAGGCCCAATATAAACCTTGATCTAAACTAATACAGAAACAGATAGATTTGACTATATTATTAGTGCGCTATGTTGACATGGAAAAAGCTTCTAGTGGTTTTGTCCGTGTACATTAAAGATCCATCGGCAGTCGGAAATTTAAAAAGAGTAGCCTAATGCTGCTGTTCTGGCAAACTTTACCTCATTGCACACTGCATGGCATTGCCAGTCTTCTTAAGTCCAATTAGTGCCTGGATGTTTTGCTAGTTTCTGTAACTCAATATGAGGTAGCCCTAACTCAATAATACTCTAATGAGTTTGTTTCTGCACTGCTGTATATTTTATTTTACTGTGCTTTTGCATGATGCATTCACTTTTTCAAAAAGTTTTGAGTTTACGACAAGTGTTGGTTGTACATCTCTTTTCAGTTCCGTCCAATTCAAAATGTAGTTAAGAAAGGAGTTAAGAAACATGCACCATTACAAAGTATTTTACCTCGCCCTCCAAAAGCTAAAAAGAGGCCAGCACCAGATACAGTTGAAAGTTTAGAAAACTCTGGATCATTAAGAGGAGGCCAGAGAAAATCTGCAAGAATACAGGGAAAGGTAAGGATAACTTGTCTAAGGATTCAACAAAAATAAAGCAAGGGTTCGAAATGGATTGACACTAATGAAATTAAGAATTTTGGCATGTTTATAATTTAGTATTTACAGGGTTTCTCAATTAAATTATTTTGATTATTAATCGATTATTGATTGGTAGTCTGCCATTGATAATCAATCTTAATTTTGTAATGGCTACCCAGTCCTTATTAGAATGGGACTAGGGTAGTGAATTTGTTACATTGCAATGGAGATCATTAATGAAACTAATTGTAATCTTATATTAATTAGAATGGATTAGACATCACAGTCATATTTCAAACTTACAATTATTGCACATCTTCAAATTCCAGTGATATATTTTATTATCTAGGCTAACAAACCAAAGGATGATGATGATTATGTACCAGATGAAGATGAACTCAGTGATGACGATGATGATGATGAAAGAAAAAAACAGAAAATTATTAAGCGAATGTCTATACCAGTTGAAGCTAAAGTTCCTAAAAATAGACCAAATTTTTATGGTGCTGTTGAAGGTTGGTATATTTTTTGTCCTGTTTATATTTATTACATTTAAGTGAATTTTGATTGCTGAATATGCATCTGTGGTTTACCAATCACCTAATAGTATTTTAAAAATCAGTCTGAAATTGACAGCAATTATGGCCTCAAGGGGTGCGCTCAATTAATTGTATAACAATAATATGATCATATTTTTTTTTCAGATGTTGATGTAGGAACTGTTTGGTTAACCAGAATGGAGTGTTGTAGAGATGGTGTTCATAGGTAATATTGTCTTTACATTCTAAACTAGCAACATTTTTAAAACTGATTTCATATGCCCTGTTGACTCTCTGAAGAACTCTTGTTTGCAAATCCCTAAGGAAAGAAAGTATCACTCTAGACAAGAGAGCACCACTTAATGACAAGAAAGGACAACTTCATTACATGAAAAGTGTGAACCACTTAATGACATGAAAAGAGAGAACCACTTAATGACATGAAAGGACCACTTCATTACATGAAAAGTGAGAACCACTTAATGACATGAAAAGAGAGAACCACTTAATGACATGAATAGTGAGAACCACTTACGACGTGAAAAGAGAGAATCAGTAAATGACATGACAAGAGAGAACCACTTAATGACATGAAAATAGAGAACCACGTAATGGCATGACAAGAGAGAACCACTTAATGACATGAAAACAGAGAACCACTTAATGACATGACAAGAGAGAACCACTTAATGACATGAAAACAGAGAACCACTTAATGACATGACAAGAGAGAACCACTTCATCATATGATTGTACCACCTAATGACAAATGTCAGTTAAATTATTTATTGTATCTAGTTCAGATATTAAAATGCATTTCTGAAAGAAAGTTTCCTTTCCCATGACCTAATTATTCCATTTTATAGACCACCAGTATCAGGTATTCATGCTAGTGGTGATGATGGAGCATATTCTATAGCGTTATCTGGTGGTTATGAAGATGATATTGACCTGGGTGAATGCTTTACTTACACTGGAGAGGGAGGGCGTGATCTTAAAGGAACAGTCAATAAACCTAAGGTGTGTAATTTAAGTTTATTTTGATTTCATTCCAGACCAACTGTAGCTGGGATCCATGGTGGTGCCGAGGGGACGTATTCCATTGCCTTGTCAGGAGGATATGAGGATGATATTGACCTTGGAGAATGCTTCACATACACTGGAGAGGGAGGAAGAGATTTAAAAGGAACAGTTAATAAACCAAAGGTTGGCGGCCCCTTCCTTCTGGATTCTTACATATGATGGCAAGATAAAAAAGCCTTGCTAAAATAACTGATTTGAAATACGGCACAAAAAGTAGCATGAAAATTAAGAATCCTTTATAATTATAATGCCCATTTTGCAATGCTTATTTGGGAATTTATACCTATCCAATAAGATTGGGCAGTTTCTGAAGTTTCACTGTTATTTGATATTTAATTTTATTTTCAGAATTTACGAACAGCCCCACAGTCTAAAGATCAGACTCTAACCCGTGGTAATTTAGCATTAAGTATAAGTTGTGATACAAAGAATCCAATACGTGTTATACGGGGCTACAAATTAAAAAGTCAGTTTGCTCCTGATGAAGGCTACAGATATGATGGTGAGTTTAGACTTCATTTATTTCGTATTTATGGAATATTTGAAAACATGTTATTCACTTGCCCACCTTCACAACTGTATTTAATACCTTGACAACAATAGCCACCTTTCTCTGTTCACGCATATTTGTAAATGCTGCGATTTGATTGGATTGTATGATAGCGATTACTGCCCCTGACTATATGCGCAAAAAAAATGTTGAAAGTCTCTCTGTCATGGGCCCTGATTGGCTGTATTCGTTTGTATATACAATCCCTTCAAATTGCTGCATTAACAAACATCCGTGATACAAGATTAGTGGCTATTGAAGTCCTGGAAAAAATAAAGTTTGTAATATCTTGACATTGTGAAGACGTCACTTGCCATATAGAAGGTCAAAAATTTTATCGATCCAGAAACCCAGATATCTGCAGAAGGATTTTTTCTGTGTAATATTATTTTGTGTCGCTGATCATCTTATCTAGAAGATTTGACCAGATCTAAATCTAGTTGATTATTTTTAGGTCTGTATACAGTAGAGAAGTGTTGGTTTACTACTGGTATGTCTGGTTTTGGAGTTTGGAAGTTTGCTCTTCAAAGATGTCAAGATCAGGCCCCACCCCCATGGACTGTTACACAGGTATTAAATATCAGTATATTTTACTTGACAAATCATGATTTTTTTCATCCTCTGCGGCTCATTATTAAGTAATTGAAATTTTTGCAAATGATGACTTTTAGTTAAACCCCTTGTCGACTTTCAACAGTTGTGAGTGTCATCTGAATCAAGTATAAAATTCTTATGTTTTGAAAGCAACTCCTGCACAGATGTGGAGAGAGGAGAAAATTCTATCACATGTTATAAAGGGGTTATAAAGATCAATTTTCAGTCAGATATCTGTGGTTTCTGTAACTATAGAAATATTAAACTGTATATGACGTCACTATTGCAAAAACTGCAAATAAAATAATAGCAGTTAATGGCAATAAATCTGTACATGCAATACAATTCCCTCACCGAAAGTCTACCATAAAAGGCCTAACTGAAAATTGAAATTTGCATGGATTATTAAGCTTGCATTTTTGTTTCCCTAGGGTGAAGAGGAATTACGAAAATCTCCTTCTAAATCGAAATCCAAGAAAGATAACTCTGATGATGAAAAAGATACAAACAACAATGAGTCAGAAGAAAAGGTTAAAGAACCAAGTAAACTATCTCGCAGTGAATCTAAAGATTCTACAGTATCAAAAGCTGATTCTGGTATTGAGTCAGATTGTCCAGTTCCTGAATCTCAAAGTTAAAGATACTCTACTTCCTTTTAGTGCTATAGATAGATAGATATTTTCCTCTAGTTTTGTGTTTAATTTCTTAACTATCAGTATTTCAGTTTGAGTTAAATTTTCAGCCAGTTTTACTTGCTGTTGAGTTTGTGTTAAGTCTAGCATGCCACCATTCTCAGAAATTCATTCTCCAAAAATGATACTATAAGTTAACTGCAGCAACAAATTTAATATGAATTAAATTTCATTCCATTTTCAAAAAGATATTTACATAGATTTTTAACTTCATTTCATTGAAAAAAAATTCATTTGAAGAAACACTTTTGTCAGTTTGAATTATTATTTCTCTTAATGAAGTCTTTACTAATTGCATTTGTTGTATTTTTAGGGCTAATTTTGAAAAGTTTGTTTTTTGTTCAAACCAAATATATTTTCATTCCATTTTCATGGTATTTCATAAAGATATTTACATAGATTTTTAACTTCATTTCATATCATATCATTGAAAACAAACTCATTTGAAGAATCACTTTTGTCTGTTGTTATCATTATAATTTCTCTTTCTGTAGTATTATTTGTATTTCTTGCACTTATAGGGCAAATTTTTCATTCCATTTCATCAGAGTTTTAATCATTCATTTATATTAGTAAAATCTAATGCATGTAGGACTTACTGGTATCCAATGTATTCTGTATTGTTGAAAAGCTTTAGCTTGCCTGCTTATTGTAAAAACTTTCATATGAAAATTTTCATAATAGATTTTTTGAATAATTTCCGTTATTTTTGCAACTGCTTAATGATTTTCCCTGTAGACTATTTCACATAAAAAAAAAACTAAAAAGAAAAACAATCATGAAGGCAAAGTATCAGTGAACTGAAATGTTTTGTATATCCTTATGTTTAAAAGTTTATAAGTTTTAATTGAATTATTCTCTAATTACAGAAATTGTATAAACTGTTTCATATTTCATCAGATTTTCATATTAAATTTGTATTTTTCCATTTTGTTTTGATATGAACTCATGAAATGTTTACAGCTGCTTTAGGTTATTAAATTTCTTGTCATATTCCCTCTGGTAGCCTACTCTTACAGCTAAACCATTGTGGATATATCCACAAGCAAGGCTCTGGTAACAGATTACTTGCCTGCTTTCCAGGATCGTATGGACCACTGAGGCTTTCAATTGATATTAGTCCTTGTTTCAGTTTCCCATTTAAATTTTGTGCTCAATTAGAGTAAATATAGAGTTTTTAGTCCTACTTTTCTGCACCTAATGGGCTTATGAAGATGGCCAATGCCATGGAGTGTTCAATGAGGGAAATTTTGGCAGACAGCGGCATTAACCTCTTTCAACTGTGAAGGGATCTTCTGTTTTTGCATCATTGATGGGAAAATCAAGTTCATTTGGACCTTTGCCTAGATTGACCTCTGGACCTGCAATTAGCGGGCCACCACTACTCCTGTTGCTAGAGTAAAGACACATTTTATGCATGCTAACACAGACAACTTAATGCATGGTAGGTTTTATTCCTTTCATGCATGCAAATTATTCCATGTCTTTAAGGTCACAATGTAAATAATATTATGTCTTTATTATTCTTCACATTTTTAAGCTGTTTCATTCAATCATGTACAATAATAATAATATTAATAACTTAAGCTTTCAACCATCAACAAGATAATTATAATACAATAATATAACAAATATACAATTTATATCTACAGGGGAGGTGTTAGTAACAGCTACACTTTCATTTATTTTCAATGCAAACCCTAAAAAACTTATCTATAGTTCTATCATCATTTACAAACTTTCTGAAGTTCTATCATTTACAACCTTTCTGAAAAGTCCATAGTATATATCCAGTCAAACTTTGCTCACAATTTTTTGAAAATAGGCCTTAGTTCAATATAATTCAAATTTCTAATAGTGCAAGTGAGAATTTCAATGCAATAGAAAAATTCAAAGAAAGTATCAACATTTTTACTTATAAAATCAGAAGTAAGAATTGATATAAAACTGTAGTTTTGAAAATAAAGTTATTTTTACTTTTCTATTTACTTGACAAAAATATTACATTTTCATCTAATAGAATTCCTTGAAGGGAGAGATGTGCCATTATGGGCAGTTGATTTGAATGTTGAATATATGTTAATAGTCTTCAGAAGTACTAGAAATGTAAGAAAATAGCATAATTCCTTTAAAAACTAGGAATTTTACTCACTATTTCTATATATGTCTTTTCTATATATCACAGAGACATCATTTTGACATTCAAACATCGAATATTCTGGACACAAATGGATTTGAAAGCTCAAATTTCCAGGGTGAGCTGTGAACACTATTATTGATTGGCATAACTAAAACAATTGCCGTTTCTGAGACTAAGATACGATTAGTCAAAAAAATGGCGTACCTGTACCTTTAACTTTGTTAATAAAACAATATAATTTCATCCAATACATCAAAAGTCCTTTCAAAATCGATCATTAAATTCCTCTATAGAGAGGATATTAAGGCACCTTCTAATCAACAGATCCAAATACCATTCTAAAACACTTGAATCTATAGACAAACACATTGGACAATACAAAATTAATTTACACATTTAAAGGTTTAAGTTAGGGGCTCAATTCATTCATTGTGGCCAAACATACATATTATAACATAATATTTTCCCAAAACAATTGTGACGTGGGTAACATACTAATGTCCATTATGCTCTTGAGGCACAGTTCATATTGCTATGAATAAATTTAAGTTTTGACTAAATAAATTGATACAGAATGCCATCAAGTGACTGTTTTACCATATAATGCCCTCAAATTGAATATTGTTTTAACATTGTGCTCTATTATCAGGCAGTCAATGAACTAACAGTATATCTATGGATTCAATTAGAAGCCAAGATGGCTATGTAGTAGTATTAACAGAGCTATTATTTATATATTAATCAAGATGCTGTAAGAAAACAAAGGTTTTGTTTGCAAGATATAAGCAAATTTTCCTTGATGATCCCAAGATGTGTTTTCATATCATTAACAGACAATGTGATGCAACAGAATGTCTTTCTTTTCTGCACATTGTAAGTAATCGATATACACGGAGACATTATACATTGTAAGAAGAGATATTTTGACCATGGCGCCAGTTTTCTGGACAAAGGGAAAGATAACCACTAATAAAATGCAGTATAGTACAATATATACACTTTAAGTATCTTCTGGTCATGACTTAGCCTTGGTAAAAAATATCTGAAATGAAAAATGTTCAATAGATTAAGAAGGGAAAAATGTTCATCAACTTGCTTTAGAGTCTATAGCTGTCAAATATTATACAGACAAGAAGAGATGGATTTTCACTTACTTTGTGGTAATTTCTGAATGTTTTACTGTCTGTGCGTAAGGCTTGACAAAACTCCTACAATAAATAAATAAAAATCAAATTTAAATAACAAACGAACGTTCTCATTTGTTTACAAGCCTTGAATATCATATAAAATAATCACTTAAGGAACATCTACTACAGGCTGTAGTAACTACTCTGTTCTTGACCACTTGATATCGACTAGACCCATGTCATGTTCACTTTTCGCTACAATAAAACGTACATCCTTCTGCGATTAGCTAAAAATAATTTGGACAAGAAGCGTACATCATGGAATTTTATTTTGTATAATCAATGAAATGGTGACAGTAGCTGCAATCAGTTCTTTAGATGGTACTTGTATACTCTTAAGTATTTTTGGCCATTGGCTACTAGCTGTGAAGAACACATTTCCAAAAGCAATTAATGTTACTTTGAGAATGAGAGAATCAAGCCATTATACAAATATAAGATATTGAAATTTACCTGTATGAGTTCTGGGGGTATATTTAATTGTGGTAGATATTCACTTTGTAAATAGTTTATCACTTCATCACCCTACAATATAATAATATACATTATACATTGATGATAAATGCTATGTTTTTATTGAAATGATGAAATTTAGCAATACAATATTGAAATGCAAAATGACAAGAACCACAGTTTTCTGGTTGGATATTAAAGTAGTTCAAATAGAAGTTATAAGAGTTCCTGATACAAAACACAAACAAAAACCTTCATCAATGCATACAAATCTATAACTGTGGTTAAAATATACAGCATTAAAATCTTACCCTTTTATCAACAATAGTTTTCAAACATAATGCACTTTCACCTAATGCCTAAAAACAATAAATAAAACATTAACAAAGGATTTCTATGTATAGCATTCTTGTATACCTAATACAGAACAGTTCTTTTGAATATATAACAGTAAGTAGTTCATTTACTTTAGCTCAATTAACAGAGCAGTATTAATAAAATTGTAATATTTTTGCTTGGTTATATTTGGTTAACTTTTTGACCAATGAGTGACGTCATTTGGTTAAGGCTGCTTCACCAGCCTCTAATATTATAAAGGGTTCAATAAATTGTAGAGAATATAAGAATTGATCTTACCAGAGCAGTTTGACCATCTGTTATATCAAAAGTAGGTTTAAGAGGAGCCAGGAAACAAGCAGGTATAATACTTTTATACATAAAATCTGTAAATCCCATTACACCATTTGTTCCTCCTACAATTATATAAGAAAAAGTTTACACACAAAAGTCGCGCCATGTTATTTATGATGTATGTAAATGAAGTCTGGTACCAAATTTCTTTAATTAAGTTTGACTATGATGGCTGTATAAATTATAATAATCTACAATATCAACTTACCCCATTCTTCAATGAGTTTTCTAAATATATTAAAACATAACTTCTGACTCTATAAATAGATAAAATACACCATGAGAATATAGCAAATATCAACTTAATTCTTGTTAACATGTTTAGTTTTACATCTTACTTTTCTTTCTGTTTAGGCTAATAAGGACAGGCATACGCCATAGAGTGTGCAATAACTGACATTTTGCATGGATGGTGGCATTAGCCTACTGTAGATATCCAACTGTCAACAGTTATGTTATATCCAGAGAAGACCTTTGATTTATGGCATTTGTGAGAATCTGATCCCCTTGGATTACATACAGTAGAAACAATAATAAGAGACTACTCAAAGGAATAATCCAAAACGGTCTCTTAATGGAGGTGGTCTCTGAGAGTGTAAATACATGGGCACTGGTGGCGTAAGGAGGGTGGTTGCTTATCAGTCAATAACTGTCTTGAAAAGTTGTAGAAGGGGACTTTATTGTGGTCGTATACTGAAGGTGATTGCTTAATAAATTTGGTCGCATGATCAGGATGAACTGTATGTCATTTCAGAAAAAATTGTTAGTGGTAAGTCATGTTAGATTTTGACAAAATTGTTAGTGGTAAGTCATGTTAGATTTTGACAAGATTGTTAGTGGTAAGTAATGTTAGACTTTGACAAAATTGTTAGTGGTAAGTAATGTTATGTTAGATTTTGACAAAATTGTTAGTGGTAAGTAATATTAGATTTTGACAAAATTGTTAGTGGTAAGTAATGTTAGATTTTGACAAAATTGTTAGTGGTAAGTAATGTTAGATTTTGACAAAATTGTTAGTGGTAAGTAATGTTAGATTTGACAAAACTGTTAGTGGTAAGTCATGTTAGATTTTGACAAGATTGTTAGTGGTAAGTAATGTTAGATTTTGACAAAATTGTTAGTGGTAAGTAATGTTATGTTAGATTTTGACAAAATTATTAGTAGTAAGAAATGTTAGATTTTGACAAAATTGTTAGTGGTAAGTAATGTTAGATTTTGACATATAAGTTTGATACTTACAGGGGGGTCTTGTAGTTCAACAGCACCTTGTATTAGTGACATTAGAACTTGATCTAAATTCTGTCCGGCTTGAGCCTTTAAAACATCATACACTTGATAAGATACAATGGTAGATAAAAACTGAAAATAGCCTCGTTCTAACATCTTCTTTTCATTGGCTGCTATCTGATCACGTTCATCTGTTGGTGTTGATATTACACGAAATATTGTACTCACTAATGGCATAAATAGGTTATTTAGAAAGGGAGCAATATCAGTCTGAAATGAATAATTGATCAAGAATTACACAAACCCATTAAAAAAATCTCAGATTGCAAAGTATGAGATGGTCTGTAGCCTAATGTGTTAGGGTGTTGGAATAATTTTAGACATCATTTGCTAGGTTGTGTTACAGTATGATGTGAGAAATATGATGACCTTGAATAAGGCATCTTTCCTCATTATTTCCCAGTTGTAAATGGGTATAGATAATCCGGAATAGATCAATGTCAAGAGGTTAGGCCAAGGACCAGCAGGTATACAGGATTATAATGAACCTAATGTTCTCTTGGTTTAGGTTTGTTTCTTTCAGGAAACCAAATTTTATTCTTAATTAGTACAAAAAAGTTGAACTTACCTTAAATTTCATAATAAGTTGATTAATAAGTGGTATAAAATCATACAGTTCCTTGGTTTCAGGATTTTTTAATAAATTCTCTAAAGCTATAGGTACATAGGGTAATATCTCCTCTCCTAGACATACTACCATACGATGCATATACTGTCTGACACCAACATGTAATATAGGACGATGTACTGACGCATTTAAAGCTTGTAGAAATATTTTCAGGAGTTCTGTGAATATTTCTACACAACCAGATTGTTTTATGGTCTGTTGACTAGAAAATCCTTTACTTGTTCGACTGAAAAAAAAATATAAACAAAAAATAAAACATGGATTTTAATAGAGTTTAATTATTACAAACTGATATTGATTATCGATGACAGGCTACTTATCAATTATCGATTATTAATCAAAATATTTGTATTGACTCATCTTAGTATAGCTACACGGGAGATTTGAGGTATAATCTATTATAAAATGTTAATTAATAGAAATTATAAATCCAGTTAGTTTATATCAAACTTAAGCAAATGTTTTTCAATTTCCATGTTAGATTTGAACATTTTTATTGCTGAAAACTATTTTCAAACACAAAGAAACAGGTTAAACAATACATATGATCTATTCCTACCTTGCCAGACCCATAGCATTATTAATACACCGAGCATAGGCTAGTTGTTTTTCTTCATCTGTTTCTCTATTTAACTTAGTTAATAATCCTTCAAATTTACTAACAATGGGTGCCAATAGGTTTCTCATTAACTCCTGTTTTTTCTGAAAAGGAAACAATAATTTTGATAATTTAATGATTTAAGTGAGAAACTATAACAACTGAGGTTCACAAAGGAACTTTTCTACCAGCTGATCCTTGACTAATGCTCCCGTTATTTAACTTTCCTGGATTATCTGTACCCATTCACAGCTGGGTAGACCTGAGTTATGAGAGAAGAGACTTATTCAAGATCATTGAACTTCCACACACCAAACTAGATTAGAAACCAATAACTGTAATGTAATCACGCAAACGATATCAGGTAAATATTCCGACACTCTAACCCATTACGCTACAGCCTATCTTAAAGGTTGTTATTTTTTTTTTTGATTATTTTGATGGGGTTATGCAATTCTTGATGACCAAGATTAGAACCCATGACTACTATTTGTTTCCTACCATACCAAGCAAATGACATCAATGATACTTAATGACCGACCTGAGGAGAGAAATCACTAGCAACCACCAAAACACCAGCTGTTTCATATATAAACAGTTGATCATCATCAGATAGTAGATGTTGGTAGCCATTATCTGGTGTATTTAATGCCAATAAATCATTCATTCTCTTTAATACATCTTCAAGATACGCATTCATATGTTGCCTGCAAAAAAATGAAAACAAAAATAACAGAACTTGCATAAAAATTCAGTGGCGCCTTTAAAAATAAATTGAAATCCAAACTATCAATTAGAAATTGGTGTCACACAACAAAACAACTATAACTACATTAAACTCAGCTTTTTTCATTGGCCCCATCAAATCATTAGAAACATAAATCACCTACCTTAAACCTTTTACGAATCTAGAGAAAAGATAGGAGGCTCGGCTTCTCACTTTACCAGACTGATTACGAAATCCTCGTTCATCTAAAAATGCCATCTAAAATAAAAGTTGAAAAGAGTTGAAATTGAATTAAAAGTACAAAAGCATAATAGACCAGGAATAATTTGAACCAATGAGAAACGATAATTATTTCTGCCTTTTCTGATCATAACTGTCAAAACAGTAGTGCTGGGTATCGTCAATCAAGCCACAATATGATATATATCGCGAAACAAGGATCTCGATACATATCGCGATATGGGATGAAAATTAACATTTTATCTTCAAAATTTCTATATATTAATTTATAACTTTATAACTGTGATATTTGGTAATATAGTTGATAGAAGTGGTTAGTGTTCACTGTCTTATAAATAGTTACTACATATATTAATTTATAACTTTATAACTGTGATATTTGGTAATATAGTTGATGGAAGTGGTTAGCGTTCACTGTCTTATAAATAGTTACTATATATATATTAATTTATAACTTTATAACTGTGATATTTGGTAATATAGTTGATAGAAGTGGTTAGCGTCCACTGTCTTATAAAAAGAATTGCAGTGAAAAAAATCGTAATAACATAAAACAAATAAAAATCCCAACTTTTTATGGAATAAAAGGTATCGCCAAGTATACAATATGCTTTTCGTGGCAAGTTGTATAGCCATACATTGATTCACCGACATATCGTGCCAGCACTACAAACAGATAATTTACCAAAGAAAACAACATTGGTAACATGAAAGTTGACTGGTCAAGTGTCAAATTTGTTTTAGGGCCGTACTAACTTCAAGGTAGAGATAGAATATCATTATTTACTTACTAAAACTTCAGGGATATGTTCTGGTTCACATTGAAAGAATTTATCATATCTTACAACAGTTTCAAAAAATTGTAACAAAATACTGGTATGTCCATGATAGCTAACTCGACTTTTTATTAACTAAAAATACAAAACAAAATATTCTCAAAACGTTTACATTGTCTTTAAACTAATCAAAGATGTATGTAAACCAATAACAAAATATTAAGAGAAGCATAATAAATGACAAAACACTTAGTAGTTTAGGCATGCTCTTACATTGGTCAAAAATATGATAATGAAAGCATGTTTCAGCTATAAAATCCTCATCAGGACCGCTGTTATAGAAATGAGGATTAAAATTCCAATAGATGGTGCAGATGATGAGCATCCTGCACTCATGGCATAGAGTTTTCTGATCAAGGAAGATAACTCACCAGTCTCATCATTTCCTGTAAAGCAGACGCCTTGGATGGATTACCACTAAAATGTTGACCATGAGATGTCTGTAAACAATAAAGTAGGTAGATATGAATATTTTACTATTCCCAAAAGTTACTGCTTCTAGCAAATTAGGAACATCTACCACTCTGTGATTGGGTGTTCAACTTGGCATCCATTTCAGAGAGTTCACACAGTTGATATAACTTATTTTGAAAGCATCATTCTTCATTAAATGCATTTCTGATTTTTCAATGTTTGTTTCAGTGAACTTTTTGAAACCAGACCAAAAAGCTCAATGGTTGAAAGAGGTGGAGATTTAGAACTTAGATTTATACAGTATGACAGAAGATTGAACATTTAATGAAAATATTAACCAGGCTTCAAAATGACACTCTACATAATCCAGTTATCATAGAATCAGAGCCGTATTCTTGAAACGATCTTAGTGCTAGGACATCCTAAACCCAGTGTTAGAAGTTAAGACCCTAGCGCTACGATTGTTTCAAGAATACAGGACCTGGAATTGATAAATTGTTAACCACAGAAAGTCCCTAAGAAATGAGTTAACAAACTTACAGGGACAGCCTCTCCTAACATATACATTAAACAAACAGCTATTTCTACATCTCTAAAATCAACAGACTCCCAGTTAGGTAGAGTTCTAGTTACTACATTTAATACATTACTGATGAGTAGATCTGTATCCTGAAAAAAAATAACATTCATGTTAAACATTGTCATTGGGATAAAACTAGCTGTTACAAAGCAAGATACTCCCCACTCTGAAGATCTGTCTGATGGTGCTCAAAAAATGAAAAGATCACATAATAGAACTATAGACAAATTTGATAAAAATACGACAAACACTGTGGCCTCTATTGAGTTCACAAGCCACTTGTGGATGAATGGATGGCAAAATACACCTTTCTATGTGGGCGTACAAAAAACTGAAATGTCTCTCATGTAATTTGCAATTAAATTTAGATGATTCACATAAATGCTTTTTTTGTTCCTTGAATTTGTGTTATCTGTATCTAAAGTTGATTTTTTCTAATTGCACTTGATCATTTATCATCTGTTAACCCTTGCTATTAAACTTCCTAACATACCCTAATAGATCAAGAAAAATCTAACATATCATAACTTACTAATAGTGCTAGATTGTTGAAGATAACTTTTAGTTGTTTTCTGTATTCTAAAAACATAGCTTCATCTTCTCCCTACAACAAAATAAATCAAATTTAATACTTAATACAATAGAATACAGTCAATGAACAATATGGAGTTGTCATTTTCTATCTATTTTCTATTAAACAATTGGTCAAATGAAAACAATTTAATCAGGGACAGATAAGCCACAGACAGGTTGCATAACAAACTATAAATCTGGATCCATCTAATAGCTTATACTTAAATATTCTAGACTGACCTCTTCTTCAAAGTTATAGGAATCATCATATTTCATTTTTGATATTATAGTATACAATAACCCCTGGAAATAAATAATAATATATCATATCAACATACTTGTATATTGTAAATTCTTTGATAATTCATTTGCTATGTGAATAGTAATAGTGACATTAATCAACAATCTGCCATATCAATTCACTGGATGTATGATCAAAACTTTTTGAAAACTATGATAAGTTATGTTATGCCTATATTTTCATACAAATTTTTTATAATCATGGTGCAAATGAAGAACAACTTTTGTTGTGGATGAGATTCTTGGTGCCCAGGTCCCATCTATAAAGGTCAACTAACTTAACAATATTTTGGGATTGGAATAAATTTGGGATAGGGAAATCCTAAATTCTACTCACCTCTACATTTTCTCGTTGTCTAGGAGAAAGGGGAACAACTTGTTTTAATAATGCAATATAATCTTGAGCAAATCCAGTTACTTCCCCTGATACATGATCATCTTCGTCACCGAGAAATCGTAACATAAATGGTACTTTATTCTCTAATGACTGAAGAGTTAGATTAGCATTTTCTTGGTCGTTGCCTTTAACTAGCCTATAACACAAAATACCATCATCAAAAAATAAATTATGCTACCATCTTGTTGGTAAATATAATTTTGCCTTTAGAAGCTGGTATTTAATTTCATATCAAAATAATCTCCAAAATTTAGTTTTGAAACGTTAATTATCCTTAATGGTTAATTTTAACGAATTGGCAACATAAAAAGGAAAAAAAATTGTCCTCTGTCCATAAAGGGACATTCAAACGCAGATAATTCTGGACACACATAGATTTGAAGGCGCAAATTCCGACGGTGAGCTGTGAACACTATTACTGATTAGCTCAGCTAAAAAATTCCAGTTTCTGAGACTAAAGTATGATTGGTAAAAAAAATGGCCTATCTGTCCCCTTAAAAACATTGTATAGCAAAATACTTACTTTTGCCAAGCTATAATTAAACTAACACCAATACCATTGACAAGTTTTGATAATTTAGAAAGGAAATCTCCATCTTCATCCTGTAATATAATAAAATAAATCAAACATCAAACTTTGTTAGAAGACACACTGTACATGAAAATTTGACAGAGCAATGTATTGACTGATGTTCAAAAAGAACAAATTAACTTTGAGCTTTGTAAATTTTCGTGGTTTATAGGAGTTAATATGATCAAACTTACTTTTAACCTAATGCTAACTGTCAGTCAAAATGTCACATATTTATGAAATATTTAATAATTTAGAAATATATTAGCAAATGCTGATTGGATGAAAATGTTGTTTGGGTTCTAAATTGGTTAAAATTCTTAAAACAAATCATGATTGACTACAAGGGATGAATTAACATTAAAAAATTTGTCATAACTTACCTCTGAAGTATTAAAAACACCCTGGGCTTCAATAAGATTAACAAAGGTATCAATTAATTTAGTTTTAGCCACTGGATCCATTCCTTTAGACATAATATCATATATACAATCACAGACAGATTCTCTTATTAATAGTTTATTTAAATAACGTAATAATATTGTCACAAACTGATCATTAGCTACTAGATTAATATCTATCCAAGACACATATTTTCCAACCACGTCCAAACAACGACAGGTTATTTCTGGATGAGTATCTTCATATCGAGTCTGAAAACAAAGCAAGATAACAGTGTCATTTACACATGTTTTATTGTCTGAGCCAACAACATAAGCTTCTAAAAGTCAAAAGACATAAAGCGAAAAAACAATCCTACCCATCAAGAATTCTGCTTTCTAGTAGCAGGCCATTAATAACCACTTTATCGAAGTGGCTATTGACTATTAAAAGGATGCCCTCATATATGATCCTTCAAAATCAAAGTTAAAATTCTCAGTTATAACATCTTGGTTCAAAGTTAATTTGGATTAAATATTATAATGTAATATTTACCATGATTTGAAACCAAGATTCAGCTAACTGTACAACATACTGATCTCTCATAGCATCTTTTATCATTGTATTACGAGCTGTCTCCTATAAAATACACATTGAAAATACACAATATGAACTCTGATTAAATTAACTTTTATTTGATCATTTCATGTTTTTTTCAATCAAGTTTTCACAATTGAAGAATGTCAAGTCAGGTTAGCAGGTTTAGGCAGGAAAGGATAATAAAGACTAGTACAGAATTTATTTAAATTTTCAATCTAAAGTTAACCATAAGATTCTATTTCATCTGAATTCATCTCGTTGTTATTACAATGTAATGAGAAACCAAAACGCAAAAAATAGATAGTCTTTTAGAGGCACAGGGAGTATACAAAATTAAACTTACATCTTGATTATGAATGACTTCTCTATCAACAACCTCTGTATCTATAGCTAATAATATTCGTAAATACATATCTACAGCCATAGGACCTAGGTTTAATGTTTGTAGTAAGTCTGTAAAGAATGCTGGCCATCGATGGGGGTAGTCTACAACATAGACTAACGATATCAACTGAGCTACTTTATTACGAATAAAATTCTTATTCTGAGTTCTTTCATCGCCCTGAAATATATTGAGTGAAAAATTTGAATACAAAATGCAACAAAAAATCTGGAAAAAATGAAGAAATGAAATTTGAATACAAAATGCAATGAAATCAGCTTTCCTTAACTTTATAAATTACAGTCTTGAATAGATTCTATACATCTCAAACAGATACAACCAATCTTATTTCAACTATTTTAGATTTTTTTTTTTTCATGGTTTTCAAGATCAATAGGACAAATGTTTTAAACAAAGTCTCCTTCAGAAAATTGCATTTATAAGACTGGAAGTGTTAGGTTTTTTTTTGAGACTGAAGTTTTATCTTTTATCAAGATAATCCAGGAATCATTTTACTTACCTCTATTTGAAGACATGCCATAACAAAAGATTTCACAACAGTGTGTTCATCAGAATTAGAATTAATATATCTAAAATAAACAAACATAGAACTAATCAATATTGACAGTACACTCCACTGTTTTCTAGGTTATATTCAACTGCATCCTAATTAAACCATGTTGTTAATTCACATATCACTACAGTATAGTATGGCTTTTTTTATCTTATTAATGCATATTTTAAACATGTAATGTAAAAGCCATTTTAACATCTGTTTAGTCAAATACCATTTAATATCAGCTCTGAGAGCTGTAGACAAGCTTTAAGTTCCAAAATTCAAGTTTCTAACATCAAATCACAAACCTTTTCTTTAGATAATCTTCAATAACTTGTAGACAGAAAAACTTGACATGATCATTTCTGAAAAGAAAAATGACTAATTAAAATACAATGAATTATTCAAAAATTAAATTATTGCAGTGCTGAGGCTGAGTTTATCTTTCTGTAAAGGATCTTGATATAATTATGAGTACTACTGAGTGTTTTTGCTACTGCATCTTCATAATGTCAAGTTATTACAAACTTTGTCTAATACCTTGACTGCAATAGTCACATTTGGAATACAGCCAATCAGAGCTGTCAACAGGTAGACTGTAAACAATTTGGCTCAGAATGTGATCAGGGGCTATGTATTCCCTAGCGTACAGTCCAATCAAATCGCTGTATTTACTTCTGTGATGCAAGAAATGAAATGAATGGAGTTTTACATCCTACTTTCAGTGAAACAAGAAATATGGATATTGCAGTCAAGTTATAAGATGATACTACTGTAAATCCATTTTTAAGAAGACTGTTAAGAACATAACAAAGAAATAAAAATAATAACAAGCCTACAGTCAGTAGTAGGTCTATGAAACTTAAGTCTTAAGTAATGATCTTACCCCTGATAATTGCCATTAGTAAATGCCTGAGCACATAACTTCCACCCATCTTCACATGCCTTTAATTCTTCAAAATACTGCACAGCCTGAAAATATATTCATCATGACCACAACATTTGGTGTCTATACTGAACATTACGTAATTCTGTATCATTTAATACAGTAGGTTTACCACTCTTTAGACCAAAATGTCTGCCTCTATTCCAGCCTCTAACCTAAACTCAAGGCTCATAAAGTCAGGTGGAACGAAAGTTACTATAATACCACCCAACCCAATTTACAGTTATCATAAAGGTAATTTAATATTATGTTAGAAAAAGCATATCTTCAATTACATGAGTGGAAAATCCCCATAAAACAGGGCATAGTTTTTCTGACTCCAGCCAATAACTGTCAAAATATCACATTCTGTCAAAGCAAAGGCCGGAATAGAAGCAGATGTTTATGACTAACTACTCATGGGCTACTATTCTTTGTGGAAAATTTTATTTAAATCCATCTTTGAGACTGTATGGAAAATCTTAAATTATTTAGGCTAAAACTTAACACTCAAACAAGCATTTAAATTGTTAATTTTTTTAAAATATTGAAGTGAATCAGTCATTCGATTTCATTTACTTACCCTGGCCTGTGATCCACTGTCTGTCAGTGAACCTAGCCCCTGTAAAGCCAATTCATCCATTTTGATTTTTATCAAATGCTTTATAACAAATTATTTCATCCTCAAAAATAAATATCGGTGACTAAATCATCGTTTTATTGTGGGAGTTGGTCCCAAAAAAGATTGCAGATGTTCACATAGATTCGACAAATTTGCACTAGAATTGTAACTTTTCTACATTTTTGTCAGCTTAACAACCATTTCACAACATCGCCAAGTCAGTTTTCTAATTGATCTGATAGATTTGATTGTTTTATGTCATTAAATACGATTATTTTGATTTCAACCACGTTTCATCACACCATGCTTGTTTAATGTACACAACCAACAACGTAGTGGACTACGTTAAATTCTGGACTCAGCAATCCAATGAAACGAAACATCATTGCTCATGTGATTTTATTGCACCATCAATATGTGAGACTTTTTTTGGCTTGACACCAATTCAAGGGAGAGAAAAAAGGGGGAGGGGGGGCTAGGTTTGTGTCCTTATTAAAAAAAAATCCTTCTAAAAACAACAACGATTTGCGATTTGTTTTAAGGTTCTTTAAAGTTAGATTGCTTTAAACCGTTGCTTATGAGCGTATTGTGACATGTACTCAAAATTTGTTTTGTTTACATAAGCTTGAGAAAAAAGAAGGATTTCTTCTGTATTTGATTTTTGTGTACACTATCTCTGTATTTCATGACGGCTACTTTTGATGTACATCATAGATAACGGTGGTTTTTGCCATTTGGCCTGTTATGATGAATCAAGCCTATCCGTTAAGAGCTCAGCCTCTATGTGAATACTTTCTTTCACCCGATACTTTAAAAGATTTAAACCTCTAATTTTCCAGTGCTGCGTCCATTATTACTCCAACAGACCCTGTTAATTATACTGATGATATAATCTACTTCGATAAGATCCGCCAATGACCGCGGAACAGTCCGCTTGAAATTTGTCTATACCTTTGACAACCTTAATATTGGAATATTCGGGGGTAAATATCATTTAAAATATTTCGTTTCAAAAAGGATTGTTTTTCAATCTACATTTTTAATGAACCACAAAATATTGTCGAAATTTTTTCATTTTTATTTTTTTTTACAAAATCATGTTGGGTTTTATGATATTTTGAAATCGGTTAATTTGATAAAGATATGGGATTTGGGAATAATTTTGAATTTCAACAAAATTTGAATCAAGAAAAACATATTTCCGGAAAATCAATCACGTGATCTTTCTTTTTCCCCTCGTGTAAAACTAGCAAAATGAGGGTTCGTGGTGAGGTACGACTAAATTATCAAATATGTCACTTAGCGACCTTAGAAAGCAAAATCAACTCCTTTCATTCCCTTGATGAATAAGAATCGTTCTCGATTACATATGCTTTAGACCCATAGAATCGCACATTTTTGAGAAAACAGGTTTCAAACACGCCAAAAACTGGTTACCCGATTCAAGATGGCGGCTTTCACTTGTAAACACGTGTTGGAAAGAGTCGAATATGTCGTATTTCAAGTCATTTTCGCAATGAATTATCGTGTCCTGCAGACAGATCTTTTGATTTTACATCAATTAGCATGAATGGTGTCATACACCTGTCTAAAGACGTATAGACTTGACTTGTGCTATGGGTTTCAGCTGCAAAAATTACCATGATGAATGATATCTTTCATTGAACCCTTTCTATTTATTATTATCATAAACTCTTCTTGTGTTAGAGACTAGAATTCTCATCATCCAATGTGTGATATTCTCATGTGGTAAAAGATTTTCATTAGACTTCTTACATCCTTCATAATTGTGTATCTGCCTAGTTGTTCTGATGGGACATCGGGGACAATAAACCGTGGCCGTCTGCTAGAGGCTGTGCGTGCACGTTAAAGATTCTCTGACAGTAAAGTCGGGAAATGAAATAAAGTAGGCTTATGATGCTGTGATAGCTGTCCTGGCAAAATTTCCTTCATTGTACACTGCATGAAGTTGACTTATTAGCTAGAAAAGAAGAAAGTGAAACTCAATTTCATTTTTGGACTGGATGAAGTTTGTTGAAATTATTTGATCATTTATTAATATAGTTAATCAGATTGCGGTTCATATCCAATCATGGCTTCATGTATGATCTCTACCCTACCTACTTCCTACTTGCTGTACATTCACTTAGGTTGAAATTTTAATTTAAGTTAAAAGCCTTTGGTTAATGAAAATGCTAATCAATGAAAATTATTTTCTTTTCAGTTAAAACAGTACATGGTGTATGGGCGCCACACGCCCTCGGCAACAGAATCCAACCCTCCCATTTTCAAAATGAATATATTTGCCAATGACAAATGTTCAGCTAAATCAAGATTTTGGTATCATCTTAGGAGTTTGAAGAAAATTAAAAAAGCGCATGGAGAAATCCTTATGTGCAAACTTGTAAGTAAACCAGTTTCAACATAGACCTTAAAATTTGTTCCCTGTAAGTAATGCAGGTAAGAGAATATCACAAGGAAAAGCGCTAATGGCGCTGTCCTGGCAAAATTTTCCTCATTGTACCCTGCATGGTAATGCATTGGCACACATGGAGCATGGTTACTTTTGGATGAAGTTGACAAGTCCTACTATATTCTCCCTGTTGCAATCATTACATCTTCTACTGAAATTAGTAATTTATCCTTATACAGTTATGTTTTAATTTTATCAGTATATTATATTTGGTATTTGGAAATTATATGCATTAAGCTTTTTTGTTTTACACATGGATTTCATTCAATTAGACTTTCTATTTGTATAGGTTGGTGAGAAGAAACCAACTGTAGTTAAGACCTATGGTGTCTGGTTACGCTATGTTTCACGAAGTGGTATTCACAATATGTACAGAGAATATCGTGAATTGACTGCTGCTAAAGCAGTCACATCATGTTGTAAGTGTTTAGTTAAATATTAGATTGATACACATAGATACATGTGTACGTTCATGTGCATGTTCAAAAGAGAACAAACTTTCACCAACCATTTCTGTACGAGTTTAAATATCAACTTCATTGCAGTACAGAGAGATTTGAGTTGATAAATATTTTTAATGTGGGTCTATTACACAGGAAATTTCGGAGGGAGAAGTGTGTTCATTTCAATAACAGCACAATATAGAAGCAATTGGGAACAAACATTTAGTCCATGTAGGGTGCAATGCAAAGTTCACAGAGAATATCTTGAAATCTGTATTTCAGATCGTGATATGGGTGCTCGTCATAGAGCTCGTCCCTCCTCTATTCAGATCATCAGAGTTAAACAAGTGGAAGATGATAAAGTGAGAAGACCCAACATTAAACAATTTATGGTATGTACTCATTTAACAGAAACTTTATTGGAATTCAGCAATGAGAAGAAACTACATTGATTGTCATGCGAAACTCTGAAAATTTACGTCATTCTTGTAGTTTGTTGAGGCCAAATACTGTAGCTGTGTGCAAATGGGTAGAATAAAAGAATTATAAGATTTAGAGAAGAAACAATGAAAACTTCATGATTCACAAGGATTATATTCTACTTTACACGTAACAGTACTGTTCTCGGGTTCATAACACAGGTTCATAAAAACTATACAAACTCTAGTACAGGTTAATAACTATGCAAATTAGGTCTTGTATTCATGCACCATGTGAACAGAACATGACATTCTGTGAAATAAGATAACTTTGATTGAAAGTTTATCTCGATCTTATTTGTTCCTATATGGAAAAGTGCAAGGAATTTAAGGAAAATCTTTCACATGTAATATGGAATCTATGAAATTCGTTGCTGGATTAAAAATTTCCCTTGTTGAGACAATATTAAATCTGGAAACTCCATTTAGAAATTTCATATCACATCAGCACTCTTTTAAGATCCTCTATTTCTGTGCTGCTGTCTATTGCCAATAGTCTTGTCAATGGCCATTTTACAGCTGGAAAAAAGGCTTCAATACAAAATTGATTTAAAAAAAAAAACTAGAGATTTTTAATGTTCATTATTTCTTATTTCAGAAACCCAATGTTCGATTCCCATTGCCTCACAGAGTGAATCACAAACTGTATGTACCAAGATTCTCTACAAAACGACCACAGACTAAATTCTAAATTCGTTTTGTTCTGTAATAAAGTATGATACATTATAAAAGTTGTATTTTTATCTCTTAAATGATTCAATTATCTCAACACTGTGTCTCATATTTCTTCAGCTAAGATTTGGTACAAGAAAATTTAGAAATGTGATCAAATGAAAAGTTGAGGTAGAGTCAGAGAAACACCTTTCAAAAGCATTGCATTACATAACACCACTATACTAGTCTCATTTCGCTGGTAACACATTCAGTACAATATGTCATTATGAAGACACTCTAGCCTCCATTGGAAACTATATCTGATAACGCTCATTTTGGTGCTTTTGAGAACACCTACATAAAGGACGTCTAAGGTGCTGTTGGAAAAGTAAAGTGAAAGAAAACTCTATTTAACAATTGTGTTGAAATACCTTCCACTTGTATCTCAAAATGTGTAGACTTTCTGTACATTTACCTTAAGATTCTTACTGAAGTAAAACCTAGCAAGTCACAATTCCGGACACATATAAACATGAATTTAATTTAAAAATGAGACTTTCAATGAGGATCAATTAATTTCAATACTATTTAATAAGCTGTCAGTCCATCTTTGGTAAGATAAAAGCAGATTTCTAAAAGATCAGAGAACCTAGCAAGTCTCCACATTGAAGGATCCTAATACACCTTGTAAGTCACATTCTGACTAGCTCAGTCTCCAAAATGTGACTTATTAGGTATTTCCAATGGACGCTAGAATTTCCAAGTTCAAATTGAGTTATCCTGAATTCCCAAGGGAATTTTCCACAACATTTAAAGTGCTGTTTATGAACTTATGAACACGAAAGTATTAACTGTGGTCTGATAATGCTTCTTGAATAAATGTTTTTATGAACAAGTATTCCGTGAAAGAATTTAGCGTGTATGATACCAGTTATGCATTGGGAGTTTCAACGGGTTGTATCTGGCATGTGAAATCGATGGCGTATGTCTTAGATTCTTCATTGTTTTCCGTTTTATTTCTGAGCAAATGTCTGTTTTTGGTTCTTAGTTTTGTACTTTCGGTTTGTTATTAAACCGGAAGTTGTCAATATTTGGGAAATCCCCTGATGGTCTATCATGTGACTTAATATTGACCAATAAGATATCGCCCTGTGGAATTCCTTGTTTACATCCGGTACAGAAAGAGTACAGGTGGTTTTTTTTTTACGTGTTGAAAGGTTGAAGGTAAATAAGGAATACAAATATGTATCGACAACATGTAAGTATTCTTTACTCGAGTGGCATAATTGAATAAAGTTTAAAATTTTATACTGTATATTTATGAAATGAGAGAGAAAATTCAATTCAAAGCTCAATGTAGTAGTCTTGTCAGACATTAAGTTTCTATTTCCCACTGCCACAGTCTGCAGTCAGACAATTATGTTGTTAAAATAACTATGAACATGAATGGTTAGTCAGATATGGGCCTGTGTAGTGATTTAACACATTTGGAATGGTCTTTGCATTAGGGGCATCATAGTTTAAGGTCTTACAGAATTACAGAAACCACAGACCAAATTGGAATGGTGTAGATAAGTTTCCTGGATACACAAAAAGACCTCATTTGAAGTTATAATGATGTGTAGACATATTTTTGATTTCAGTATCCAGATGACCCAGGAATGCATAATAACTATGGTAACAGTCATACAAGAGTAACATATAGACGGAATGCATCATTCTGTGAGAGAATACAGAATAGTTTAGTAGCGTTTGTTGTAGGATTAGGTCTATTAGTAGCATCTTCTGGGTTGCTCTACTGGAATGAGGTGAGTATTTTCAGAACCCTAGTCCTTGAGATCCAATATAAGGTATATTTTATTTCTGAAACCCCATGAAAAGACATTGGCCTGTACACCTATGCTTCCAGTTGCCAATTTATGTATTTTTCTGAACTTTTTGGTATATTTGTATTTTGCAGGGTAGAGCAGTGCAGACAGCTAAGTCTTTAGATGAAGGATTAAGTGTTGTAATACCATTAAAATCAACAGATGTAGCATTCGAATCTAATAATGGTAAACTGGTCTATTTAACAGCTACTCTACATACTGATAAGGTAATGAAATTACGTTTTGTGAAAAAAGTTTGTAACATTATAATTTTCATTGTTGTTTTGTGTCATATAACTAATGGTTAAAGAAATATAAAGATAAAACCTGAACAATTACTGTTACTCATTAATTTTATCATCTTCACAAGGTCAAGTTATTACAAACTTTATCTTATACCTTGATTGCACTAGACATTATTCTTATATCACGGAAAAAAGCCATTTGATATTGACTTTCTGTCAGGACTCTGATTGGCTGTATTTGCTAGCATTCAATCCAGTTAAATTGCTGCATTTACAACCTTCCTGAATACATGAAAGGTTGCTATATTACAGTCTGAAATTCTGAAATTCAGACAACTGATGTATTATGACCTGTGTTGTAAGTAATAATAATGATATTTCCAGATTATGAGTGATCCAGACTATGGTATCAATCTACATGTTGTTAAGTTAAAAAGATCAGTTGAAATGTATCAGTGGGTTGAACAGGAATCAAAACGGTCAGTTACTTTTTGTTTTGATAGTTGCCTTAGCATATAACCCTTGAAAATATGCACACTTCAATATCAAATAACTTTCTAGCAATGGGTTGAAAGTTAATTCAGTTGTTTTTTAAATAGTGTGCATTAACCACAATTTTTTTAATTTTATTTCAGTGAATATGATGAAGGAGGACAAACTAGGGTAGAAACATCATATTCATATTGTAAGTATATACCTTTACATACTTTATTTTGTGAGAGTGATAGTAATGACATATGAATTACATACTATTTTAGGGCTAATAGTTGAAATATAGTATAGTTTGTTCTGTATGAAAATTTAAAAAGATTTAAAACTTATAGGGCAAGAAGCAGGATTTTCTAGGGTTGATCCTGGTCTAAAAACCTAAAAACAAGTGTACGAAAATTGCATGATCCCTTCAAATATACCTCAGAAGTAAAAATTTTGATTTCTATTGTTTGTATGTCTTGTCTACAAGGTCTGTAAGAGGAAATGCAACTAAATCAATTGATTGTAATGTGTTATTTTTTAGCTGAAGAGTGGAGATCTGAATTAGTGTCTAGTTCATCATTTCATAGTTTACTAGGTCATGAAAATCCTGGGTATGTAGTGTATTTAACTTATAAAATCTGTAAATACTACCTGCTTTTATTTTTAGTAAAATGTTTACAAAAAAAAATCTTTTGCTGCTCTGTTCACATTTCTGAAACAAATCGATGGTAAGAAATGAAATGAATGAAGTTTTACATCCACTGTTCTGCACCTTTTGAAGACAGGCAACACCATGCAGTGTGCGATGAGGGAAATTTTGCTAGAACCAATTTCCGGCTGTTGAGGGATCTTTCACTTGCAAAGCCTGTAGCACATGGGGTCTGGGCTTATTGTCTCATCCAAACGACCAGACGCTTTTGAAACAATATGAACATGAATTTAGTGAACATACGATTTCAGGTCTATGCAAGTTACTTCAAAAGTTTTTACAGCAGATTCTGTTCAAGTTGGAAATTTTCATCTTTCAAAAAGTGAGTGAAATTTCTATAGAATTCGGTTATAAACATGTTATGCAAACATAGGCTCATTTCCAACTTTAGAGTCTAGTAGGAGATAGTAGAATACAGTTTAAACAGGAATTTTAAAGATGTAAAGATGAATGAAGAAGGAGTTGATCATGACTCAGTGTATTTTACCTCATTGGCTACTACACGATTTCAATCAGGAGGAGATAAGTAGGAAATACAACTCATTTTGATCACATGGCAACCCCTGGGAATTGATTATCATTGCTTCCGGTAGTTTTTGATAATAATGATATATTGATATTATAAATTTTCAGATTTAATTGATAAGATAAAGCAGTATAAACCATTAGGACAAGAGTTAATTAATATACCTCCAAATTCAGGATTAGAATTCTATAATGGATATTTATATCAATCAAACAACCCTAGAAGACCTCAGGTTTGTCATTTCTTCACTATACATTACTGTCGCATATTTGTCAGGATATACAATTTTACTGATTATGTTTATTGAAATATCAGCCTTAAAATAGTAATGTTAGTCTAAGAATGTCTTTACGTTGGTAAAACTTGCCACTACATCCAGTCTTGTCAGCACGAGAATCATTTAAAACTTGTTCAAAAATGTTATATAAAAGGAATTATGGTTTTTTTTGACGTCAAATATTCTTTCTTTTTTTGCTGAAATTTATGAAATCTATACACCAAAATCTAAAGAAACATGTTCCTTAACATATCTGAAAGCTTTAACTAAAAAAATTCAGCTGTGAATTATTTCATGCCAACACTATTTAAAAAGTGTATGTAAACTTATAAAGTTTGTTATGCTTCTTGGAAGCTCCCATTAAATTGTAGAGAAATATGTGTCCTACTTATTCTGAAGGATTCAACTAATAATATAGAGTCATTATTATGTTAAGAACAAGAAATCTGATAACTGTATATCTATTATAGGTAGGAGATATTAGAATACAGTTTGAATATACTGGTATCAGTGGCAAATCATCTCTAGGTGATCCTGATACAGTAAGTTCTTTCATATTTTTACTCATACACTTTTTATTCTAAATTACTTTATGTATCCAATTGATATTATCCAAGAAAAAATTAGTTTTAATATTGTATTTTCCCAAACAAGTTGTCTTTATTGATGAAAGCAGAAAAATGTTTAAAATTTATGTCAATTTGATAAGGTCTACAGGTAAATTTAAGGGAAAATCTTAACAAGTCTTTTTGTAATTGTAGGTCAGTGTGGTAGCCAAACAGGTGGGGTTACAGTTAACACGGTATGAAACAGATGCTGGTGATGACCTTGAACTTCTATATCATGGTGAAATGTCTGCCAAGGTGAGTAATTTTGGTATTGAATATTTCTGCCTCATGCAACTACATGTTAAAAGGGTTCAAGTTTTATTACATGCATTCGCAAAAACAGAAGCAGACTTGAATAGTTGTCATGAGTGTGCTCCAGTGGGGATATCCAACTTCATTCCTAACAAATTTACGAAAATGATTTTGATCCCTTTTTGCCCCAAAATATGTGTTCGAAAGCACAAATCAATTTTGTTTTGCTCCTATGGCTCTTCCACAGTGCTATTGCAATTGAAATCCTTTAAGTCTGTCATTCTCCTATCTGTGTTCCCAATTCTGGAAGGCGTCTCCACTTGCATTCTATTTATTTAGAGCTAACACCCCAGCAACTGAAAATAAACTAAAAGATACTTATTGTTTGGATTGGGGATTAGTGTTTAAAATATCTTTGCTTTCAACCTGCTAGAATTAATGGAAAGTGACAACGCCATGTTGTTAAAGATTAATATTTTAATTGTAGAAAATGTTTGAAGAAGAACATAATCAAAATATTATGATGACATGGGGAATAAGATTTGCTGGTTGGTTATTAATGTTTGTAGGTTTTGGTTGTTTGACTAGTATTATTACTACATTAGGTATGTACCGTTTTGTCTTTGAATTCTGTAGTCCATTAGGTATTTCAGTTCACTGCCTGAATGATCCTGCTTTTATTTTCTACAATTCAAGAGAGCACAAAAAGGGAGGTCACTCAACAGACCGTTAGACTTGACTATGTCCTGTTTTAAGACTGGATTGGTTGCTCTCTCAGCTTAGGAACAAGCCATACATAACTCCAATAAAACAAACTTTATTTTTCTTTTTCAGTTGATTGGTTACCAATAGTTGGTGAACTGGTTGCTATGGGAGTAGGAGCCATGAACGCTGCATTATCAATTAGTTTATCAATAACTATTATTGCCATTGGTTGGATACGGTATCGTCCCATGTTAGGATTTGGATTATTAGCTCTATCATTTTTACCATTTATTTTATCAAAAATACGTTCACGAGGACGGCCATCAACAAATTACCAGCGTGATGTATATTCTTAGTATTCAAAAAATTAACATAATTCTTTATCAAGTATATTATTATTTAAGACAAATTAGCTGCTAAATTCCTGAAACTTACCTAAAACTGTTAATGATTAGTGCTTTCATTAATGTTTTTTGTTATGTGTTGTCGTCAGTATTTTAAATGTTAGTTCCATCGCCTACTGTATTTTATTTTAAACTGTTTCAATTGCTTCCTCAGGTATTTGTTTGGTAACTAGCCCACCGTTAGTTGCTCTGCCCACCCCTATTCAAAACTTAAACACAAGCTGTTTTGATGAGTTAAAAATATTATGAGTTAAAAAAGCAAAGAGTTTGAATTTAATTTATTTTTTCATATCTCTTTATATCTCAAGAAATCTTACAATTCAAAAGACCCCCAAGAAGTGCATGCAATATTGTTGACTCCTGTGAAAGTAGTAAGAGTGTGAAGTATGTATTCAATCTGATTATTTTAAGAGTGGTTGATTTTAAAATGGACGTAGTATTTTTTTTATTGTCAGAGGTCATATAAACTTCCTGACTTTTTTTCTAAAAAAATATTAATAGCTTAAATATGAATTGAAAATTATATATTTTTGTGTAAAAACAGAGTAGTTATTGAATGGTTATGTATATTCATGAAATCTTGCCATGAATCTAAGAACTTTGTAAAGAGAAATCTGTACATGTATAATTGTGATATGTGTGTGTATGTTATAATAGTATGAGATACTCTATATATTCTATTCTATATTCACTATTTCTCAACCAGAATTTCTGATTTCTAACCATTGTTAGATTTGATTTTTTTTTTTAATTTTATCCTATGATTAAATTGTTTCTGTTGATCATTGCATTCTATATTTAACTTCCTTATATTCAGTTTTGTAAGGGGAGGCTCACAATTGACAGAATCTGAAAGCAACTGGATTTTCAGAGAAGGCTTGCAATTTGGCAGTCAACATAAGGAATATAAGGAATTCTTGTTGTGATCATATCCTACTGATAATACTGGCCATAAATATAGCAAATCTAAATGTTTTCTATAAATCTGACCAAATTAGTCTGATATAACATCAATATTCAATTTTATTGGAATGTAACAGTCATACAAACATTTGGTTATTCAAAATAATATTCATAAATAAACTTTAAAAATATACCCTATAACAAACCATAACATTAACAATTTAAATCACGCACGTTTATTTATAATTAAAAGAGTGTCTGGTTTAAATACATTTTTCTTAAGAAAACTGAACTTAATAGGATACATTCACAAGCACTGTCTCATATTTTTAATATCATGGATATAAGATAAAGGAATTTCAAAGCAGTTTCCAAGTCCAATTGTATAATCTATAGTAACATCATAATCTGGTCCAAGGAATAATGGATCTATGAAGGGAGCTTGATATAGTGAAAATAGAAGGCATAAGTATCCTTATACATATTAATACAAATACTACAAAACCTTTTTTGAATTCCTTGACATGTTATTTAATTAGCCTTTCAACCTATATATAATTGTTAAAATGACCGCGAAAAAATATTAAATGCAAAACCCTATATCGTTTTATAAAAACTTAAATATTCAATGTTTCACAAAAAAATTATATAACTTTGATTTCAGCTCTATTCCACTAGTAATTTGATTTGTTAAAAAAATACAATGAGACTATCAGCTACATGTTCTTGATCTAGCGAAAAAAACAAAATATGAACAAGAAATAGTAGTATGCCATCACCTGTTATGTCAATCAACATCATACTCTACTAATATTAATAACTTTCTCTTAAAGATGTTTTTCTATGTGTACTATTAGTGTATGTTCATTTCATAATTCAATAGTTTCTTACAAAAAACAATAAATAACAATAATTCTAATAAGACATATAGAAACAGGCAAATGGCCAGACTTTTTTTTCTGGTTTACAATAATATTAATACTTATAGGTTGACCATCCGTTTGACCAATCGTACTGTAATCTCTGAAACGGGAATTTTTAGCTATATTAATCAGTAATATGTTCACAGCTTTCCGTCAAAATTTGGGCCTTCATATCCATGTGTGTCCAGAATGATCTACTTTGGAAAGTTAAAAAACGACTTGTCTTTTCTTGAGACTTTGTCGTCAATAGAAAAGACATGTATTCAAGACCCAAATCAACCCCCAACAATGGCGAATCTGTACCTATAAGTTCTAAATCAGCACATTTTTTTTTATAATGCTATGTTTTCCAAAAATAAAGTGGTCACCAATAAATAAAAGAAAAGTCTGGCCTAAGTACTCAAATACTCACAATAAATATTATATCCTTACAGAATTTTCTATAAATATACTGAATTTGAAGGCAAAAAATGTTTGTTTTACAATTGATGTAGATGTTGCTCAAATATACAAAGAAAATAACAAACAATCATGTTAAGGCTAAAATTTTGCACCGTAGAAACGATTGTCTCCTGATTGATGATAAATTTGTCCAATCAAAACTCAGTATCACAGTTATTGTCCAATGAAAATGTTTGTTAGAAAAGTTTATTTTAATGTACAACTCCAGTTGATTGGATTATATCTAATAATTTCTCTCTCATATAGATTACTTTTTCTCTGGCTATCTTTCGATACTTCCCATTTTTTCTCCATCAGCTGAAATGAAAAATTTGGGTTCATCAGAAAAAGGAATCAATTTTCCAAGTTTTCAATCAGCTTTAAGATTGATGTTAAAGAATCAGATCTTGGCCAAAGATTTTTTTAGATGGTATCAAGCTTACATATTTTTAAATTTCATTTTACTTTATATGATCTAACTTACTTATAACCTATGGCTAACTGTCTGTCAGTCAAAATGTCACATGATTGGAAAATTCTTGATCATTAAGTGAGCCCCTTGATAGAAAAATTTAGCCAATGTTGATTTCATGAAAAAGTGAGTTAGGTTTTAATTAGAATCAAATGCTCTGAGCTGAAATCTATTAAGAACCTTCATTCTTTATTTCATTTGAATACAGAAATATTTCAGGGAAATCTTGTGATTAAAAAAGTTATTGCGAACAAATTTGCATTTAAAAAAGTTACTAACCTTTTTATTATCATCTCTGAAATTTTTGAGATAATTGAATTTGGTGAGATGATCTTCGAAATCTTTCTGAAGACAAGTTCTATCATATTCTACAGCCTGTTCACTTTCTTGTACTTTATTTATTAGATTTTGACGTTTCCATGAATCCTGGTCAGACATCTGTTGTTTTAATACCTCTCGAAAGTGCTTACTGAAAATACCAATATATTTTATGAGTATATATCTAAATTTGTATGTGTATCAGGAATAATGATAGGATCAATTTGCATCATTCTAATTTTGAGTAACTAGTAAGATATCTGTTGTTTCATGCAATTCCACTAAAATTTAGGTGTTTTATGATGTTCCCCCTCAGTAGCTATTGCAAAGACCCTTGGATTTTATAAGCAGTGTTTGCAATAGTGACATCACAGGAGCAAAAGCACATTTGAGCAATGCATTAGCCTATCATTGTGTCGACGATTCAACCGATGATTCAAACAGACTTTGGGCCGATGTATGCGTGATAATAGGGTTCTGGCCCCAAATTCTCAAAACAATGTCCCAGGGTCTTATCTTCTAACATTATTTCTAGGATATCCTAGTACTAAGATGGTTAAGATTGTAAGTCTTATTAAAGAGTGACTTACTTGTATGACTCTCTCTCAGCAGGATTGCCATAAAAGGCTTTAGACCAGGCAGAATGATAACGTTCATGCTCTCTCTGCTGCATCAAAATCCTTCTACTATCATTATGAAAGTGGGCGGGGATTGTTTCCCAACTTGTGTTGATACGTTTTCTTGGTGGCATTGGACCAATGGGATTGATTCTCGGAGGAGTCTGCAAGTAATCCCATTGGTTAGATAAATGTGGTGGTGGATAAGGTCCGTATAAGGAAACTGAAGTTTGAGATCGTCTGATTGGTTCAGTCACTGAACATTTCCGTGGTAACGGCGTACTGGTTTGAGCTATTTTTGGTAGCGTGGTCATTCTGGTTGTTTATTTCATTACCCTGAAAAAACAAAATGACCAATTACTGCTAGTAATACTTTTCAGAAATCTTATTTGACAATATCTAAGAGTGCACCAGGATTCGTGATTTCCTTTCTGAATACCAGCCATTAACATAAATCTTGGTTAGTCTAGATTCAGACTAGCAAGCGTTTTCTCTCTTATGCAAGATATTAACACTACATAAATGTTGCCTCTGTCTGAATCCGAAACAAGGACCCTTAATAACGCAATGTAAAAATGTCTGTTGGTCCATCTACACATCAAACTCTTAACATTCTTTTCATATCCAAATCAAACTTGAAAACTGTTTGGTTGTGATGTTAATCTTAAGTACATCTTCTAATCATTGTAATTTTTGCAGAATTTTTTTGAACTTTTCAAGAACAAAATTTGACGACAAATTTGAATTCACTCACTTAAAGATCTAATTCTAAACCTTCAGTTACTCTATAAGTTTATAAAAAACAACCAAGATTTTTTAAGCTTTGTGAAAGACATATTGATTTCTTGTTTAATCGAAGACGATTAATGGAAGAAAACATAGAATTGATTTAATATCCATTACTAGGAAAATATAATAATCTTGTTTTGTATGGTGTGATCAATAACATATTGCCTAGCAGTAATAAATATCAAATCACTCATATCAATTAATCTATCATTAGCAATATGCTGATAGTTAAAGTGATTATGAAGAAGTTTTCCTAAATCTTAGTGTTTGATGATGTCACTAATTGCAAAATATGCTTTATCACATAAGGCCCTTTGCAATTAATGACGTCATCAAACAATTAGTTTTATTGGAATTGCAGGAACCTCAGACATCTGATTGAAAATTGGAATGGTACGAAATGATGTTATCAGTGTCCCCAATATAATAACAATTTTTAGAATCTTCACAATCCCTTAAACAGCATGGTGATGTAAATAATTATATTAGAATTATTAAAACAGAACCTGAAACATGTTGTTACTCAGAGTTTCAAACTAGACAACTGACCTATTTCAGCCTGTGTCCCTACCGAAGTAGAACTGTTTTCATGTCAACACTTCAAGACAAGTTTGGAACATTTGTTAAATCAAGTTTATATAATTATTTGTTGAAAATAAACCATTTTCTCAAATTTCTAGTTACAAATATTTCAACAGTATTGACTTTATCACTCTCAAATAGTGCTAATTGCATTAATTGCAAGGTTTTATAGGGCTCATTAAATAACATTGCTGAACTCATTTAGTAAATTGTAAAACTAATAATTGCAAAGCTAGTTTATAATCAACTTGTAAACAGTAATAATTGATATACGTTTACATATATTTGAAATTTATCAAGTTATTCTATAGTTCTTACCTATGTCAATCCTGCATGTAGGCCTATGTCTGAATAGTCTTGATGATGTTTTATAATTAAGAAAATCGTTTAATTACAGGTAAACTGTAAGTTTAATCAGGTAAACAAACATTTGATCTTACCGACAATGTATATGTATGTATGCATTATAAAAGGGAATATTATGGCTTAAGTATATTGAAATAACAGTATAATAGAATACATTGTAGTACAAAGTTAATATATTTATAATAAACCTGCCTTACCTTTACAATAATAACTACAACTTTCTTTCTACTTTTCTATACACTAATACAGTAGTCTATCAACTACCTACCTGGTAGTCACGTGATAACAACGTCTCCTTGGATACATAACCTCGTTTTAATCCCTAATCTTTTAATCCCATGTACCGTTATTTAAATACTCGACACGCGAGGGATTTTAATATTATTGAAGAAATGAATAAATCAAATTGACAGATCGGTGATACAACATATTAAAAGAGCTGCAAATTCACAGCCGAAAAGAATCACCTTTATAAATTGCATTACATTTGTTACCTGTTCAAATAAAAAAGTTAAAAATTATTTAAGGGAGACAATCCATTTATTTGAAAGACAACAATGAATTTTGAAGTCTTTGGTTTGGCTCATTAAATCGAACTATAGTATCCACGTAATGATTAACAGGTGTATTATTGTACAATCTGGCCTCTGTCTGTGGTATAGAATTTAAATGAAAAATGTACCATTGACAAGCCCAGTCATAGCATATCATCAGGTTTTCCAGATGCAAGACATCTCATACACCTTAATACAACATAGAGGTATGATCATAGAGTTATATATCTCTATAGGCACGATTCAATAGAATTGAGCTATCAGAGTAAAGTGCTCTATGTGAATAAAGTTCTCTGTATTAATAATGTGCTCTATGTGAATAAAGTTCTCTGTATTAATAATGTGCTCTATGCGAATAAAGTGCTCTGTATGAGTAAAGTGATCTGTAGGCCTATAAGTAAAGTGATCTAAATGAGTAAAGTGATTTATGTGAGTAAAGTGATATAGAAATATTTTAACAGAATCTAAAAACACATGTTGTTGTTACTCAGAGTTTCACGCTATGTGATCTTCAGACAACTGACCCAATGTAAGCCTGCGTCCCTACTGAAGACAAGTAGAACTTTTTCTCATGTCTACATTTCAAGATGAGTTCAGAACTTTTGTTTAAAGACATTTTCTAGGGGGCATTAATGATCTTATGAGTAAAGTGCTCTATATGAGTAAAGTGTTCTATACGAGTAAAGTGCTCTATATGAGTAAAGAGCTCTATATGAGTAAAGTGTTCTATATAAGTAAAGTGCTATATATGAGTAAAGTGCTCTATGTGAGTAAAGTGTTCTATATGAGTAAAGTGCTCTATATGAGTAAAGTGTTCTATATGAGTAAAGTGATATATATGAGTAAAGTGCTCTATGTGAGTAAAGTGTTCTATATGAGTAAAGTGCTCTATATGAGTAAAGTGTTCTATATGAGTAAAGTGCTCTATATGAGTAAAGTGCTCTATATGAGTAAAGTGCTCTATGTGAGTAAAGTGCTCTATGTGAGTAAAGTGCTCTATATGAGTAAAGTGCTCTATGTGAGTAAAGTGCTCTATGTGAGTAAAGTGCTCTATATGAGTAAAGTAATTTATATAAAAAAAGAAGTATATACCAGGTATAGAAGACAATGAATTGATATTCTCAAATGAATAACAACTAAAACTCTTTTTTATCAAATAATTTATTCATTTGGTTTTGTTTTGTGAATAATAACAGAATCTTAACCAACAATTTAACAATCAGTTTGGTTATGATAGTTATATCATTATTGTAAATATTAAAGTTATACAATCTTCTAAATAGCTGATATCAGATATCAACTGATAAAGCAAATATTTAGAATGCCATATCCCTTTGAATTGTTTAAGAGAAAACAATTAGATTAAAATACATTATTTAAAGGGATTGTAAAGAGGTTTTCTAAATTGTTCATGTTTATCAGGGACACTGATGGCATCAATTTGCACTATTCCAATCTTCAATTAGATGTCTGTGGTTCCTGCAATTCCATCAAAAGTAAGTGTTTGTTACTAATCACAATGGGCCTTCAGTGATAAAGCATATTTTGCTTTACTGGATTGATAAGAAAACCTCTTTACAGTCCTTTTAAAATACATTGTTTAATATTGCTATTCATTTGTTACAGATCAACTCACATACTTGCAGCAAAGAACATTAAAGTACACTAAATTCACCTTTCAACAAAGTCTATAAAGGCCCTTTTTACAGCTTTTACATTTAAGTTAATTTAACTGCTAGATCTTCACTAAGCTAGATATAGAACATATAATAACAATTGTATACACTTCAGTTACATATTATTACAAGAAATCAAAATTATAATAATACTATCTTTGGGTAAATAGAAATTCTACTTATACAAATTCAATTTAATGGAAAAAGTTTTTGCTGAGAGAAATTGTACAGGTTTACTGGACCGGTTTCACAAAATCCTAACTTGAGATGATTTCTAGTTATCTGATTGGTCAATAACTAACATAGATTTTGAATTTAGCTTTATTAACCAATCAAATTGCTGTGTTTTTATATCTGTATTCTATCTCAGTTAAAATTTTGTGAAACAGGCCCTAGTATTGACCCATTGATAATTATAAATACTCATGAAACAGTGAGAACAAGCATTGCCATATTAACATAACATAACAGTATTAATAGATGGATGTAAAGCATAAGAAATATATCATATATGCAAGATAAGGTTTTTCCGATAATTTCCATTAAGCATTCTAATGTATTCTGAGCGTATTTCATTGGCCGATGTTGTCCACTCATGTCAACAACAATATTTTACTCCCTTACAAATCGCTGGCATAAAAAAAGAAAGAAATATATATTAAACTTGCTGGTCTGGCCATATCCAGTGTATTTTGTTGGGCGATTGATATTTCTCAAACCAATCAGACTTGATTCTGATATCATGTGACATTCAAAATTCTACGAGTAATATCCTCTAAAATATTCGCATCGTGTGCACTTTCATGATCAGAAAAATGGCGATTTTAATCATCCTGATGGGGCGAAAAAATACGTTTGTCTGGGGCTCTTATTAAGACAAAAAATATTTGGATTGAAAGAAATATTTACAACAAAAACATTCAAATATCCAAATTTCCAATCCCCACTGAAGCTGAATATTTTGAAATTCGTGCAAACTAAAGAATAAATGTTAGGTTAATACACAGTGTTAAAATCACAAGTTATAAAAAGATTAATATCACATTTTATAGTTGATCACAACTTCCATAAATATATACACCTAGAAGTAATAATAGTTATTTACAATATCCCGAGTCATTCTCAACTGTGGTAAGAAATCCCTTTTGGTGTGGGTAACATTGGCTTAAGAAGGATTAACATTCATATTAGGGTGTAAAAATCCCTTTAATAGATGGAGTGACAATTTCCATTGCCAGGGTTACAATTTCTTTAATGGGGTAACAATCCCTTAAAGGGATACTACGTCTTAAAATAAGCATTAAATTTAAAAAATTTAAACTTGGCCAATAAGAGCATTATATTAATCAGTAGATACTTGGTGTCATAAATAACATAACCGGTTCCTTATATAATCCGATAAATCCAAAAAACTTAATAAAAATGCAATTAACTATTGAAAAACACTTAATATTATGATTAAGCCTTTTTCAATAATTACATAGTTTTATAAATTTTCCAATTTTCCAGATTTTACAGGGATTCTGTTGTAACTTTATGACACCAGGTAAGTTCACTGATATATATATACTCATATTGACCATTCTTGAGAATTAAATTTTATGTTCATTCTAAGACGTAGTATCACTTTAAGAAGGATTAAGAGGGAGTAACAATTGCTTTTAAGGGGTAACAATTACTTTTATGGGTAATAATCCCTTTTGTGAGAGTAACACTCCCTTTTAAGGAGAAAAGTCCCTTTCATAGTACAGAATTAGTAACAATTTCTATTGTGAAGGTAACAATTGTACATGCCATGGTAACATCCTCAATTTACAGATGTTACTTAAATTTACTATTGTATACCATTTGGATAGTAACTTATACCATACTATTTGTTCCCCAAATATGTCCAGTAAGGAATGATGCATCATAATGAACAGAAATATATAACATTATAACAATATGGGTTTTTACAACAAATTGGCTATTTGTTAAAACACTAGCGAGTTAACAGAAGTGTAAGATCAGTTTTTAAATAAATTACACAGTGGATTTCCATAAACAAGACAATAATTCCATTTTAACAGGATAATTAAAATGTTTGTTTTAGAAAAATCAAAGGGATTCAAAACTGGTTATCTGGTCATTTTTATAGCTTCTTGTTATAACTTTGATTTCTGTTCACAATCTATGGTTTCTGGTTTCTCATTCAGGCTAAATAGCAATCTAATTAAAATTTAATTAATATTTTGTTTCATAATCATTCTTTTTGACAGTCTCCATTGTAATCTAACAAGTATTATCTCATGATCACATACTGGTGATGTTTTAAGCTATTTATAGCAGGCAATCATGCATCAAACTGCCACCAATCAGAATCACTTCTACAAGCTGGTATCGGCAGTCTCATAATCTCATTGGTCATATCGCTACTTTGGGTTTCGCTATTCCACAATATTTCGACAAAGATTCTGCATGACTTGCTCTGATTGGTTGAAATGAATGTCAACAGTAAGCACCATGTTATAAATATTCTTAGATTACAATGAAGACTGAAGAAAAATAATTACAAAACAAAATTCTAATCAAATTTTAATCAGATTGGACAAACAGAAGCTGTAAATGTATAGAAAACCTCTATTGAATTCATTTAACTGCATGCATCTTGCAAAAATGTGTATTTTCTGAACAGTTAAACTAGTCTAGATCCATACAATCATCAACATGAATTTGTAAAGACTCTAAATCAGGACATTTCAGGTTACATTTGGGACAAGTAAATTCATGTTCCTCTACTTGTTGTAACTGATCAGCTGGTCTAGGAAGGGGCTGAAATAATAAAAGAACATTATTCAGTTTGTCGAACCACAACACATTCTCATATATTTACAGATTTGGGCTCTATTATTCCAAAAATCTATCGTTAATCTTTTGTCCTTGGAGTATTGGAATTTATGAAAGCATATTTCCAAAACATCGAGATATTTCTTTTATGATACAGGTCCCTGGGAAAAAGAAATTTTGTGTTCATCAAATCAAACCAAAAATTATGTTAAATATTGACAACCACAAAAAATTGCAAAACACAGCTACAATATCTACATTGTAGGACCAATTCTGTTCATATTACATATAAATTTTGACTCTTAATTAAACAAAATAGTTTGGAAATAATTGGATGGAATTATAATAAAAATGAAAATATGGAAAACGTTAACCTATTGTACATCTTATTGGGTGCAGTGTGCAATGTGGAGATCTTGTAAAAAAAACTATATGTTCATGCCTTGTAATGTATAGCCAGAAATATCATATCTTACCACTAGATTTGTTTGAGAAGTATCTGAAGGGAAAGATATAAAGTGGGATGACATGCCAGGATTTGGACTTTGTGGTACGTGAAAAAAACTTGAATTTGGCTGTTGTCTGACACGTTTTTGCATCTCTGAAAACTGATTGCGACTAATGGTGTCCATTTCGTCCGCTAATTGTTGGTTCTTGATTTGTAAGTCAGCCATATCTTGTAAAATTGAATTCTTCTCCTGAGCCTGTTTCTCTCTAGCTTGTCTCTCAGCATCAAAATCCATTTTAAATACTTCAGCCTTCAAATAAAAATAAAGTACAATGTCATGCAGTGTGCAAATTTTTCAGTCTAATTAAATTAAGTTTTGTTCCGTTTTTAATAAGCTTTTATTTTTAATATAGCCATTTCATTTAGGGTCTAAGGTGGCCTTCTTGAACATTTGTCAGTTTGGTGACACTGCCAGCCAATCAAATTCCTTCCCTCTGGGAAGTGCTGGAGTTTGTGACTCGAACAAAAGGTGCATTCAGTGTCTAATGATCTAAGAATACACTTTTTGTCCACATCGAAAAATCCCAGCACTAAGGGCAGGAATTTAATTGATTGGTACTGTCATCAAACCTCAAGGTTGGCAAGCAACCTAATTAGCTACCACAGATAGAACTCATACTGAAAATAACACTAATAACTAGTACTGGCATGTCATGCCACAATTAGATACATAATATGATACAACGGTTAGGATAAGATACTAATAGGGATATATGCCACAATAGGATACATAATATGATACAACGGTCAGGATAAGATACGTATAGGGATATGGTGTAAGATACAATATTCACTAATTCACTTTGTAACTGTGAGATTTGGTAATATAGTTGATAGAAGTTAATGTCAATTTCAGTTAAGTCAGAAAAATTTGTGATTCTATTCGCCAACTTATAAAAAATTTCCATGAGAACGAGATGTATGATTAAGTATCGATACACGACATTGCAATACAAAACTTGTATCATGGCATGTCGTATCGAGATACATCGTTTCACCAGTACCAGCAGTACTAGTAATG